TAAATGTAACATATCAATTCAACAAACATTTTCTGCTGATTACAAATTTGAAATTATTTTTTTCGTTAAATAAACAATTTTTTAATGAGATACGAGTTCAATTTTAAAAAGTTCTAAATTAAAAAAAAATTGAATAACATTTTTTTTTGTACTCTTAAAACATCCTGAATGTCTCATACACTCACTCTGTATATATTATGCAAAATATTCCTTATAAAAATATTCGTATTTAGTTTTAGATGCGGCGGGTTTTTTTTTTTTTGTTGCGCTTAATATAGACCATTCAGGTCCTTCGCCGCGACCACCACTTCCTTCCATCTGTCTCTATCCGTGGCTAGCTCTTCACCGTTCAATAGGTCCGTTACAGAAGACAATCCAGGCACTTATGAGTCTCTGAAATGCTTTTATGAAATACCATGAAATATGACATTAATAGTTATGTTTAATCGATTTTGAAAGATTTTCAGTTTTTCTCAGGTTTTTCTTAGTAACACTCGACGTAGAAGATTATTAGGTATTACTGTTAATAGCCGGACACGTTCGTTATCGCATATGGTAATTAAATTAGCTTGAAACCCTATCGAAGAATCGGTAATATAATACGCTTTGATTACATTTGTTGTAGCTCACTTCTTTGCTCAGCGGTACCACTTGGCGACCGACAGCTTCAGGCGGATCTACTCCATCCTTGTGGCGATCTTCTCAAGGGCTGGTTTGAGAGATGGTCCCCAAGGTTTCAGTGGTCTCTCCAAGTCCAAGAACTGTCACGTCGTCGATGTCAAGAAATCCCACCGGTTGTTTGTTTCCACGGCCTCGGGAAGACCCCACTTCCTAAACAGCAGAAGGACCACAGGCTTCTTCCGGACCACCGTAATTAGTTTTTTTTAATTTCTCAGGTTTTTTACTACCACCTTGAGCACTTCATTCATAATGAAATCAGGGCCAAGGACTTTACCGGAAGGCAGCCTCGTTCCTGCTACGGTGAGCTGACTTCATATCGGGCTCGAGTTGAAGGCAAGCATCGGCGTTGGATCTTCTCCTGGCCCTCTGGAATCGCCTACGAGCCGATAGAGAAGACCTCCTCAACTCGGCGACCAATGTGTTACTTTCTTCCTCCCTCGGTACGAAGAACCATTCACATGTGTTGTTTTGCTTCAAAAATTAATCAACACGGATCTATCGATTCGAATCACACGTGTAAACTTAATGATGATGAACTAACGTAGTAAAAGTTACGGGATAATTATTGTTCTGGCTAGTAATGTTTGTAATTGAAGACTTTCTTAATAAAAAAAAAGGAATACAAATTATTGTTCGTTGTTTTTGGTGTGCATTTTTTTATTTCCGAGACTTTTCGATCGAGAAAGCCATACTCATATTTTCTGGAAGACAATACATTATATTGTATTGTACGATAATTGAGTCAAGTACGAACACGCTTATATATTATATACATATTATATTGATCATTTATCGGATTGTGATAAATTTGTATTATTTTACAATAATGTAATATTGTCTCCATAATTGGGGATATGAACCGCATCGCAACATCATTAAATACGATCCAACGTGGCCGTCATTGAGTGTAACTATGACTATATTATTGTGATTACATTTTTTTTCCTTCTGATTTTGTTATTCTGTCGGTGCACAAGTTTTCAGCCGTTCATAACGCGTGTATAATTCTCCATAACCGTACGCATATGATATGGTTGTAAGAAATACAAGCGGCATCTGAACGCAACGTGTCTCCGGGGCAAACATTAGATTATTTTGTTTTGTATAACAACAGAAAAATAAAAATAATATTCACCCTCCCCCCGAGTACAGTACCATAATACAATTATTACCGTACCGTGCACTGAATAGCTGTACAAACATAACATATTAAGTAAATGACATAATAAATCTACTTTATTTTTTTTTTCTTTTGGGTAATTTTACCGTACTCCTCGATAATGTCCTTGCTTAAGCTAATGATAAAAGGCAAATTTAACCTGTTTAAACTTCTTTTAAATTTATTTTATTACAATATGACTTTTTTGAATTTAAGAAAAATGAATTAAGTACGGTTATTGAAACGAAAATTGACATTGATAGCTTTAAGATATTGTTGCTAATAGGAAAAAAATGATGATAGCACAGATATTTGTCTTAGATTTAATATAAGATAATTTACAGGTAGATCGGATTTTATACCCATGCGGTATAATGATTTGAATTTGATAAAAGCCTGTGTTAATACACAGGCTAATCATCATGTAACGACTTAATAATTTTTAATTTTCTCTTAAATAAAAATATTTTGAAAGTTGATTTAGAAGCTCATTTGAAAAAAACTTGTCAAGAAGATACAAAATATGAATAAAATGTTTTTAATAAATTCAGTCTAGCTATCCATGAATATTATAATATGGCGAGAAATATACTTATGTCGCTTAAAATTTTCATTGACAACCGCCGTTTATTATCACGTTCCGTCAACAAAACCAATTATATGTACTGACTAAAAAAATAACAACAATAATTATATAATAATATTTTGGATGTAATACACGTCTTCTAATGCGGTTAGCAACGGATAAAAAGAAAATCGCTAAGGCGATAAACAAACAACTCTAAACGACTCAAGAAGATTGTGTTTTGACAAAATTTTTCTAAACGCTTTAAAAAACATTTTTCGACCACCATGGACATACGTGTAAGTTTATATCATTATTAATATCTTAAAGTATTTATTTACTTCAGAGTAGGAAAATGTAACAAACTCGTTAACACGCAAAACTATCTAATATTCTTTAATAATAATAATTTATGTTACTACTATATAAAACATTATAACTATTTATAGCAAGGAATAGTATAGTAATCTTACAAACATTTTAAAGTGTTGAAGAATTTCACGTTGTAGTTATATTGTCGTCTGCCGATTACTTTTTTTTGCTGGGAAAAATCTGCTACAAAAGTATTTAAGTAATTTATCTTTTACTGCCAAAACAGACCTTTTATGAGACATTTGCGGAATCTGGAAACTTGGAATATGAAGATGCGGCTTTTGACGACGACACATTTGATACTTTGGAAAACCGACAGATTTTGGACAATGGAAATTTTGGAGATAACGAGACTGGAAATTATGACAATGACAATACCGAAGGCAGATTATTGGGCGTACGTGAACCCGGTAACTTAAGCATAATTATATATTTTTTCTATTTGGTTAATTGAATAGTACATACATATTATAAAGCATACAAATTATAATTTTTGTTTTTTAACGCAGGAGATTTCATTGATTTAACCCAAGACGACAGCGATGATGGAAGTGAAACTGAAAATAAGAAAATTACCCAACAGAAAGAAGATGGCATCAATTATTCTTATGTTGTAAGTTAGAGATTATTCATTGATTTTCTCAAAATTGTTGTAATTTTATGATCTATGATTATGTCTGTCCTATATTTCTATGTTATTAAATTGTTTAGACCCTTAGCCCAGTATATCTATTATTTACTATTGGTCAATGTCCCGTAATAGTATAATAAAATGTAAAACTTTTTATGTTCTTGTTAGAATCCAGTACATTTTGATCCAGCCTTTTTTCAAACACGGAAAAGGAAGGCTGAGAGAATTGATGGTATGAAAATTATTATTATTATTATAAACTGAATTATACAGTTTTTTTATTGGATTTTTATTTTTGTTAAAACCAGTTGAACCGGTTGTAAAAAAAATGCACGTTGTAAACTTTGAAGAAAATAATGTAGATTTAACACTAGATAGCGGTGATGAAGGTGAAGATCCGAAAAAACCTGAAAAAAATCTTAGTTACACAACACACGAATTAAACGTTGACGAGAAAATTACCATCAAACAACCTGGTATAAAAGTTGCGTTCAGACAAATATCAAAGGACGTTATAATGGTAGAAGAAATCTTTGACTGTTTTATAGACAAAAAAGATTCCTTTTGATGATGACTTTGAATTTCTATTTTATTTTCAATTTTTTTGTATGCTGTATTTGCTATATTGTAATTTTGTATTGATAAATGTATAACTTGTTTATTTATGATTGTTTAAAACAAATTTTTACCTATTGTTTTCATGCTCGATTTGTATATGTCCCTTTTTTTATTAATTGTAACTTGTTTTTTTATAATTCATGTTTAACTTATTTGTACTTATGTTTGATTAGTTAAGTAATTAATTATTTCTAAATGCACGACTTTTTTTTGATAATTGAAAATATATTGTAACTATTTTGTATTTATGTAACTACTATTATAACTTTTGTTACTACTTTTACTTTTACTATTACTACTTTTGTTTTAAAAATAAAAAAGTTACGTTGTCAGATCTCTTAAAATTATTTTATAAAGCTTAATAATTTCAATGCATGTATGTAGATTTTATTGTGGTTTTGCCGTTCTAAATGTAACTTTTTCTCTATTTATAAGTAAAAACAAATGGCCCAAAAATAATTTTTGGTTAAATAGCTGTTGGGCGGCACTACAAATATTTTAAAGGTTATGTAACATTTATTTCTTATCACGCGTTATCATTTTTTAGAAAAACTGCCTCCAACGCGATCGATGCCTTGAATGTGTTGTAAAGAATCTAATTGTTTTTCTAGACTTTATTCTGGGTATTTTGTACAAAAATGTATTTTATATGCGTTATAATGATTGAAAAAAACTAAAGATCAAAATAAATACAAATTTCAGCTTAGGTAACGTTAATTTTTAGTGAACATTTGTCTATACAATGTACTTTAATAAAGCGGCTAATGTAGATGTCCCTTAATTCAGTGTCCACCTATCCTAATCCGAGATTTGTGTTGGAAAGTTTTAATAATACCTAGTAGATTATTTGAAATTTTATTTACGATTAGATTCGATAAATACCAACTTTTTTAAAAACATTTACCTAAGAAATAATGTAACACTAAAGGAATAACACAGGTCATAATAAAATTTAAAAAAATTAACAACAATAATTTGAGAAATATGGTTTATTTGTAAAACAAATAGATATTAGAAATTCAACCGAACGCGACAAAATGTTACAACTTATAAATCGTTTCATTTCTCAACCAATTCGCTTTCCACGTCTTTTATGAATAATTCAACGACGATATTTATATTTTTAATTACGTTTTCCGGATTTCCATCAAAAAAACTCCCAATAATCCCTGCCGTGTACACTTTTGGTTTATCAATAGTTTCATTTTTTAAGGAAATGAATAAATATTTATGAGCATCTTCTTTTCGTTTATATACGTCTATTGCATTTAGGCCCGCCGCCTCATAAGGTGCTAATAGTTCTCCCTTGGCTCCTGTAACAAATAACATTTTTAACTGTTATAATACTATATACTATTTATGTTTATATATAAATTAAATAATTTTCGTTCTGGTGAATATTTTTAAAAATTAATTTATACTCATTCGCGCTATAAAAACCACGGTATGTAATGCATGCGGTCTGCCTTTTGGACGTTTTTGACCAAAAAGCCAGACAAAATTTCGACTGCTTAAGATGGTCCGTTTTTTGGCAACTTTGCTAGGTTATGTATAAAATAGGTTTTCGATTTTTTTGTTTTTTTTTTAATGTAAAAAATGGGGTTTTAATTTTGAAAAAATTGCAAATTTCATTTTACTAACTACAAGAAAATGCATTTTTTAATTGAAAATCTACTTCCTACATAACATAGAAAATTAGCCAAGGACTCGAATCTCTTTACAGAATTGAAATGGGACCATCGTATGCAGGTAATCAACATTTTGTCTAAAATAAACCAAAATTACTATTACTCATAGGACAAATTGTGTAAATTAAAAAATAATACCTTAAAGCTTATACAAATTAATCAGAAAATTATTGACATGGTCAAAATTTATTTAAACCACTTTTTTATTAAAAATTGCCTATACAAAACTCTTTAAAAATAGACCGCATGCAATGGCCCTTAAACATGTTTTTCTAAAAAAATTAAAGTATTATCTTTTGATTTCGATTTTTTAACAATTCTTTCAAGCCATTCTTTGTAATAATGTACTTATTTATTTTTACTAAAGCTCATGATGGTACTTTACTTTTTTTAAAAATTTATTTTAATTTTTTTAGTTAGGATTGATATTTTTAAATATTTTATAAAGAAAAAATTGCTGGGAATTTTGACTGGTCGACAATCACTGTTGAATAATTACTTTAAGAGTTATTTAAGTTAACTCTCTATTCCATTTCCACAATAATAAAAATATATATAAACCGAAATATTGTTTAAAATACTCACTTGTTTTTATTGAACCTTTATTTAAGTGATACAAAGAAATATTGTTTCCAAGGTTTATTACAGATTTGGGCATTTTGGTGGAACGATCACAGATGTGTTGGCCAAGCAACTGTGAGACACACATAATATTAGTACTATTAATATCATATAGTTCTGGCCTACTGCCGTCGAATACAAATTGTTAATAAGCAAAAGGGATTTTTAATCTTTTGTGAAGGTAGGTAAAAAAAAAAATAGCTTTTAAACTTATAATAGAGGCTCTGGGAAGTGATTGCCCAATATTATAGGGAACCAAATAGCTTGTGTGATATCAAGATTAATATCATACACTTATAATTGATTCACTGCACTTATTTTCAATTATATTAAAATCCATACAAGTAAAATATTTTTTTTTTAGAACAGTGTGAAATGGTATTTGTTTCTATTGAAAAAGAACAAATAGTTTTATACATTTGAACAATACCTGTTACAAAATTAAAATTTGTTTTGTGTCATGTAGAATGTAAGATGGCTGTAAAGAGAATTATTTATTGAGATTTTTACTAATATTATTTACATGTTTCAGATTAGTCCAGATTTTTGATCCACTAGATGGTTCGCCTTTGGTTGGTGTCACGGGTGCAGCATTCAATGAAATCTTAAAAACAGACATCTTATTTTTAAAAATTAGTAGTACCATAGAGTTCTTGTCATCAAAGACCAGTTGTATTATAGAATAACAGCTTGCAGTCTCAGCAAAGAAATTATCTGGCATTATTAGAGAGAAACATTTTGAAACATTTTGAAAAGGTCTAAAATGTAAAAATGTATTAGTAGCTCTAACTAATTTTATCCAATGAGTAATAAATGTTCATTTTCACAGCTTAATTAAAACAACTGAAAACCCTCCGAAAAACATAATTCAAATGTGCATGTTGCTCTCCGAATTTTATATATTTATGTAACTATGTACTACTTACAAAGTATGCAATTTATAATATAATATTTGTATTTATGTACATTGTATTTGGAGTAGTTTTAAGGGTTCAACTCCCTCTGATTAATTTTTTTCACATCTAAATTAATTTTTTATATTTAATGAAATTCTCCAAAAATTATCTAAGTTAGCTATCTAAGTTCAGAAAAGCGATTAAATCGCTTTTCTGAACTAAATACTAGCTACGCCTATTATTTATAAAGTGTGATTTAAACTTTATTAAGATTTGTAGGCCTATTAGTTACTATTTGAGAATACTGAAATAACACTTCTATAATCGACCGCCTAATATAATATACTGTGCTGGTTTCTAAAATAACTAAAAAAAATATTATTTTTATCGCTTGTACAAATTTTTTATGTAAAAAATTGGACTTAAATAATGAAAAAAATTGCAAATTCAATTAATTGAATTACAAGAAACATAACATAGTAATGTAGCCAATAAGGACTCTTACAGAATTGGACTATCCTATGAAGTCGACATTTGTCTGACTTTTTGGTAAAAAAAAAAAATCAAAATGGCTTTTAGTCATAGTCAATTATTTAATAACCTAATACCTTGAAACTTATACAAAATAACCGGTAAATTAATTGGCATGGTTGAAATTAATTAAAACCTCCTCTTTTTCTTAAATTTTGCCTTACAAAACTCCTTATAGATGCTCTGGGAATAGTTAGTGATTACGCAACATTTTGAGAATCCTAAATGGTACACGTTAAATGTATTTATTATTTTATAAAACATAGTTTTATTCATTTAAACCAAATTAAAAAATTAATATTTATTTTGTATTTTATAAAATGTAAGATGTCCACATTAATCTATGGAAAAATGTATATATTTTGTGGTAGGTATAAAAATATCAAAAAGAAAGGATCAAATTAACTATGAATAGTTAAAGAGTTGAAATTTTGTCCAAAATCTATATTTACTTACAATAAGACCGAAAAAATATACTGCAAATAACATGTTTGATTTTACCGTAGATACCTACAACAATAAAAACCGTATACTTGTTATAAATAACTATATCATCAAACATTATAATGGTTAGCAAACTGATTTTAAATTTTACTTACTTTTGCTTGTTTGATAAACTTAACGCATTGAAGCTTAAAAAAACCCTTAGATTGTTAGTGCTCGGGGTTGCCTTTTTATAGTTAGATTTGCCATATTAGATGGCGTGTAATATTCTATTTGTTTTGATTGTGTTCACATAAAATAAATATGCTCATATTGATACAATTGTTAATTTTGTCTGGGTGGTTTAATGCGGGTCTTACAAGAATGTGCCACGCCTAAAGTTATATAAAAAAATGATTTAATTTACATTATAAGTCTAATCTTTAATTAAAAATTAAAAATGTTTACATAAGAACAATTTAATAAAATAATTTGAGTTTCTTTATGTACAAAATAGTTATTCGCCATAATAATTGTACCACAGTTCGAACATTTGAACACACAAATGATAAAACAAATAAAGTTAAAAAAAGAAACACTTGTTTATGATAATCAATAAACCATAATATAACACCTATATTTTTTAAGTATTTTTAGTACATTAAATATAGAAGCACATTAAATAACGTTCTATATATAACTCAATTACGTATGTGTTAAAACCTATAAATTTAAGATTTTTTAAATGGTAGCCCCCATTTATTTTTGGATGAGCTTGTTGTTGAAAATAAGTGTATATAGATACATTTTACAAATACAATTGTTATATTTTTCCTTTTTATATGGAAAACGAGATGAATTTTGGTCATGTCTGTTTTTATTATTTGTGTTTCTAATATGTTGGACTTTTCTTGTTTGAATATTTTAATTTGCTTGCATAATATGTTATCATATTGTAGCAAATACTAATTTTTTATAAGGGGATTATATGCGGTCGGTTTTTAAGGAGTTTTAGAGATTAGTCGTAGTCGTGTGTACATATTTCTCAAACAGTTATTTACTAACATTTCTAATAATCTACTATTATTTAAACTTTCCGACACAAACCTCGGATACTTAAAAAACTTTAAGAACTAAAAATACTCAGGTTGAAGTTTTGAAAAAATATTTGAATTCTTCAAAGCACCATTCATCAGAAAAAGCCCGAGGGTTTTCTTTTCAAGTAATTATACTTTCAAACTTTATTTCGTATAAATTTAATATATATTATATTATATTTAGAAAATACATAAAACCATTATATGTAGGAAGACAATTTTTTATTCGAAAAAATTGTAAAACAATTATTCGAAAAACGTTTTATTCGAATAAGAATTAGCAAAACTCTGTTGTATGCCCTCTTTTTTCCATTGTCAGTTTATTCGTTCATTTTATAAGTCATAGCACGGTCGTTTTTCGTACTGGTATACAGAAACAATGCCGCGCCGTGCTTTATACCGACCTTTAAACATCTCGGCGTTGCGGTTTGCCTATACAAAACGCCGTAAATTTGATAATTCCACCAAACTACACATAATCGATCAACAACATCATTACTAAGTCATAGAAAACGAATAGATTGTTGAAAATTCAAGCGCTACAATGTATTAAAATTGTTCGTCTACATATAATTAATTTAATTAAAACTTTTATGTTCGTATAAGGAATGAAATTGAACATTTTCAAAGTATTGAAAAATATAGTAAAACGTGTACTTACAAGTATAGGAAAAATGTATTAGTCTTACATCAGATGGATAAATGTGTAACATTTTTAATAATTTTCTGTTTCTTTTAAGCAATGGACATGCTCACAAACATTTTTTTCAAAGTATTTTTCAGTTAAAAATATAAAGTGCTTAGTTTAAACTTACCGTCGTCATCAATGTATGCATTATGTGTTCATTTGTTTGGCCGAAAGAAGTACATTTCGTGTACTACTGTTACAAATAAAAAAAAATTTGTCTCTATAAAGTTTATTCCATGCATGATTTCTGATCAGTAAACATGCTACATGAAGAAATTGGTTAAAAAATATTTCAAATAATGCCCCGGTTTTAAAATTTTTCAGAAAAGAAAATATTTAACTATACATTTCATCCATATAACAAGTGCCTTTTTTATTTTTAACGAATTTTTTCATAACTTTTTTTTCAAGTACTTATATAGTAGGACATGTCCCCGTTTGCAAAGAATCATTTATTTATCGTCATTACATTTGATTATGAAATTAAGTGATTTTTGTAAAAAAAATATAGATATGTGCCCTTTCTGTATTAGCGATTCAGCAGCTGTGATTATTACTATAATCTTGAAATCACACATTACAATATTTGAATTTGACAAGAAACAAGCATGGTTTAAAAACGGCGTCTAGTGTAGGCAATTTTGCTACATAAAATAATAGTGTGCCTTCGTTGAGGTGTTTGCTCACATATTTCACTTTTAAATACTCACTGAAGTCATTAAATGGCTTGAAAATACTAACTACCGATTTGCCTAGCATGATGGGGACCTTTCCGTCCCCATTGTACTGGTTTTTTTTATAATATTTTTTTTTTTTTAATAAGTGTATACACTTATTATTTAGATTTTATAAGTTTTGAAACTCAAATAAATGTAACTTAACGTGCCCCAAATGTTCAATTGCTTGCCTGCAAACATTTTGAGGAATATACATTTCTACATACATGTACCTAGTGAAAAACACAATTTAAATACTTTTATAAAAAATTGATGTAAATGAACATAATATAACCTCTTCGATTTTTATTGATGTTTTAATTTTTTTGATTAAACGCGTAACATGATATTTTGAATATTAAATATGATTTCGTGTTCATACCATAACAGAACATATTAAAATAGAAACAAAATTCATAAAACCAGATAAAAAAAAATCTAGTGTTTAAAGATTGCAGTCGCTTAACTTATATTGGTGCACCTCGTGATTGCACCACTACCAATAACAATTGTTTAAGTGATACTTAATTACTAGTTTTAAATAAAGCAATTTCAGTTCAAGTCTTACATTTATTGAGATCGAATCATAAAATTATAAACAAAATTAATATTATTAAAAAAACAATATGAACAAGATAAATACAACAAAATTAGAACATGATAAATATAAAAGGGTATAAACAAGCAAAATAAACAAGATAAATAACAACATTAACAAAACAAAATAAGCAAAATAGTACATGAAATAGAACATATAAATAGAACATGAAAGGGGTATAAACAAGCAAAATAAACAAGATAATTAACAACGTTTACAGAACAGTATAAGCAAAATAGTACATGAAATAGAACATACAAATAGAAAATGCAAGGGTATAAACAAGTTAAATAGTACAACATTTAAATACCAAAACAAGAAAAATAGTAATAATAAGTAAGCAAAACATGGTGATGATCAATAATCAAATTGTACATTCTTGTACAGAGAAATCGGTTGGCGTCAGATTTGTGCGGCTGTTATGACGTGCTGAGGATAGTGTTTCGATCAAAGAAAAAGCTTTACAATATGAAGTTGATATTATAGGCAGGCTGTGTTACAACAAAATTAGGTTAGAATTCAAATAAACACATGACAAACAAACGCGGTGTCTTACGGTAACGACTAATGTGCGACCGCGCGTCCCTCTGCCGTTGATACTCTGCGGCGATTTCCAACACTCTTTCGTACGACGGGGGCGGCTTAGGTTTGAGCTTCTGTTTTATTTTCTCCATGATGGCTCGTATGCCGTCTCCTTCCTTTTCCTTCCTCATCCGTCTCACCAGAGGAACAGTCTGACCAACAGTTTTGGACGCTGCAGCAGTACGCTAGAAATGTACAAAATTAATTAACAACAAAAGTATAATAATTTATCCACCTTTAAGCCATTTAAGGTTTGGAATCGGATTCAATTACCTTGGTCCTTTTTTTAACGGACTTGCGACGGCGACGTTTGGCGGGAGCGACTGATTTTTTTCTTCTAGTCGAAGTTTTTCCACGGCGATCGATACCGGGCTCAATACTGCCGACATTGTCTTCAGAAGTCGTTTCTAAAACCGTACGATAAAAATATTTTTAAAAAAAAACCCTCTCCCCGAGACCCTTAAAACGTGTCTGTCTACTTCACCTGCAATCAGCTCACCGGATGACACCCCTTCGCCATCCTCTGCAACCGGCTCACTGGATGACACCTCTTCGCCGTTAACTGCACTCGATATGTCTTGACTGGTCGACGGCTTTGTGTACAAACGAAAATAATTAATAACGAATAGTATTGTGATTTGTTTGGACGGTTACTCGGTTGATAACTTCTTCCACGATGTCCTCTCCTTGATCACCCTTCCTCGTCTTGAACATCTTCAACCGTTTCGGCGGACGACCCGGATAGCTGACGGTAGCATAAGGCCATTCGGAGCTCTAGAGATGTGCAAAATGAAAGAAAAGCAAGCTAGTGAATAATCCACATTAAGACACCGATTCAATTACGTCAAGCAGTTCATCATCATAACCAGACCCACGGCGGCGTTTGGTATGGAACTTTTGTGATGTAGTCAAAGTTTCACCGACAATAATTTCTTCCTCGATGCCTTCTTCCCATTCATCTTCAAAAAAACTATGCTCGAATTGATTCATTGTTATATTTTTTTTATACAAGTTCAAGAGAAAATAATTAAGTACAAGATAATTTATGCGTATGAAAAGAAAAATATTAATTATTACAACTAGTTGGTTACGAAAATAAACAAGGTGATCACCGATGTCTATGACAACAGACATTTGTTGCAGTTTTGTTATTTGGGACTCTTAAAAATGTATTATTTTTAAATGTTTGTGTTTAAGACAGTTTTATATCGACGTGTAATACCCTATATATATTGTGGCCTGGTACAACGTACGTTTACCTTAACATCAAGGCGTTAAGTCTGTTTTATTGCGAATATTACAAATTCCAAAGTATGCATTTCTGGTCAGTGTTGTAGCGACAGAAACACATGCGCCGTCTTCCAAAAATTATTTTACTAATAAAATAATAGTAATATATTATATTTTTTAAGGAAAGAATGACCAGTCAATAGAGCTATAGTGAGCAAGGTAATTAATAATATTGCCTTTTTGAATGTCTGCATTCAGTGGATCTTACACAGTTTTCTCTCGGTTAGTCGGCTCTTCCAAGTTATCTATCCGCATACAATTCTATGCGATATAACATTTTTCTTGACTCGAGTATAAGGTTTTGTGCGGTGCAGACTCATAGTCATAGATATTATCATAATGTGCTTCAAGCACTGTACAAATTGTGAAATGGACGGTCATCGTCTATTATTGTAATAACTCACGTTTTAGAAACTCTATATAAGTTCAATGATCACCATTTTACTAGGATTGTGACATATATTATATTTTGATCATAATAAAAGTATTAGAGTGAACCCATTTACTATAGATATTTCTAATAAGAAATGTAATAAGTAAATATAAAATTACCTTTTCGCCTCACATGATATGTTTCATGCTTAATCTTTTGATGATCATTCCGAATATAATATAAACCGTTTATTCAAATATTGTTATTAGAAATAATTTAACATTTAAACAATAATACTTTGTGTTATTAAATTTGTCTAATTTATCTCAGTTTTAAAGCGATTGTCATATATTTATAAAACATAAAATTTATAAATTGGATTTTATTAACTGCATAATGATTTGATGTTTGATGTATTTGTTACATGAATTGCTATAACTGAAGCTGATGAAGTCCAAAGTAATTTTTCGAATGAATTTTTCGATTGTCGCAAATGGCCTTAAAGCTTGTTTTAGAGTTGAATTTTACTTTATTTTATTTATTTACGTATCGCAAGCAACTAAATTATTTTATTTTTTCTTCGCAACACAGTCATTTAATAATTATTTTCATAGATTTGGGAAGCTTAAATTTGACAACCCTTACAGAAGAAAGAAGAGATACTGGAACATCTTTAGAAAATATAATCACACGTGTAATAGGTAAATATTAGTATAGAGTTGTATGCGTTTTAGAGTAATTGTTATAATATATAAAATATAATATAAAGCGTGTTGAATTAACTGCATAATGTTTTGATGTATTTGTTAATTATTTTTTTATTTCTTAAAGTCATAAGAATATACTCAATAATGGAGTATAATTTATTTTATAATCATACACAAATTATAGTTCAATAATCTGTACTAAATGTATTTAACCATAGGCAGGCTGCTACTTTTTAGGGTGGAATAATTAATCTTCTTCCGAGCCAGGTTGGGTGGGGCTGAATAAAAATAGTCGGGATGTGGGTTGGGCCAACTTAAGTACGATGAAATATTAACACAAGTGCCCCACTTATGATACCCAAGTAACAAACAGTAAAATAATATAACAAGACTTTCTTCTCGATAAACCTTAACCATGACCTTCGTGACCATGACATTGAATCTGAATAAAATTATATAAAATAAAACTGTACACTAGTTGTATCGCTGAATTCAGAAATTGCACATGTCCAATATTCATTTCAAAATTAGGTAGTCAAGCGATTTGTTCATGAAGACACCAAAAAGCTTGTTAAGTTAAAATTTTTTTGGTTTTTCAATAATAAAAAAAAAGTTAACTACAGATATTTGAGAATATTGTATAATAATGTTGTGACCCCATTCTAGAGCTTTCTTGTGCACAATTTCTAGGCCTTAAACCCTAAAAATTCACAATTTTACCTAATCCTTAGACGAATTCTGCATCTGAATTTATATTTAACATCTCTTCCCTTTTTTAATTGCAATTCTAGAGTCAGCAAATGAGTGGCCAATGTATATAATACGAACCGTACTCGGCGTGTATTATTCATTTAATTACAATAGATAATAATTGGACGATTATATAGTTAATTCAAGTTGAAATGTGTCTTCAATAGTCAGCAAAATTGTTCAGTGACCTTATATATACATATATACAAATTAAAATATATCAGAAAATAAGAATCAACGTTTTAGGGGAAATTTTTTTTTAATATTATCATAGGCTAATCATTTTGGATAGCCTAAACTGTTTTGTATAATAATTACAACCAGGAAAACATCAATTATTCACTAAATCGTGTTCGGTCGATCATATTATTGGTTTTTTTATTTTTTTAATATAGCAAAACACATTTTTAAATCTTTAACCGGAGCAAGCGCATATTATGATAGTACTAAATTTTTTGTTCAGTTGTCGCACTTATCTGCAGACTTTACAATTAGGTATTCAATATTATTATTGTGTTATATAAAGGGCCCCCGCCTAAATAAGAATATTCATAAACAGCATTATGATGAGTAATAGCAATATTGCTGTCTAAACTAATTATTGTGGTATAAATGAATCAGTAGAGATAGTCACGGCAGTGTACGGTTTACAATACAATATTATTTATCATAAAAACACTAATCTCTGGTTCTTGGTTTTTTTTTAATCGTAAAAAAAATTTATTGCCGTTCTAATCGCTTAAAAAAAGACAAATATAAACTATTCGACGCACAATAATGTTTTTTTTTTTTTTATTTTATCTCGAAAAACCTTGATTGATCATTGTTGGTGTTGTGAATATCAAATACCTACCTAGCTTAGCTGTTAATTAACTAGTTTGTTTATAGTCTGTATAATTTACACTGCCGTTACTGATGTAAAATTAATTAAACACATAACCAACAATCGTCGTGTACAGTTCATGTAATATTATATTTTTTATACTTCATGCTACATCGCCTTAGTCAACGAAATCCACCAAGATGATTGATCTTTTGAAGATGTGTACACTTTTGTTACTCATAAGTGTGACTTGTTGCACGTGCAACGCCAACAATTCAAACGATTTCCAGCTGAAATTCGTTTTTATCGTGAGTATAATAATATCAGTATCAATATATATATATATATATATATATATTGATACTATATAATATATTCATCTAACGTCGTTAATAACACATTTTCTACCAAGACATTAAACATAATGTAAGTATTTTTTTTTTAAATTTTAGATGACTAATATTGTTTTATCTAATTCAACATTTTATAATACCAATGACTTTTCGTGTGTGTGTTTTTTTTATCAATAATATATAGATATAATATACCGGGTGGTTCTTTTAATGTCCTACACCAGTTTTTTGTATTGAAATAATTGATAGTTTTTCTTTTGGAAACATTATTTGGTTTATGCTATATTAAAATACAATAGGCCGCTATTCAAATATTTTATTTTTAGTATTTTCTAGAGCTCTATTGATTTTTTTTTAACTCAAATGGTTTCAAATATTATATTTTGTTCAAATTAAGAATAATTTGCTGAAAATGTCGATTGGTCGATAGGTAAACAGTTTTGAATAAATAGTTTTAAAGTTTAAAATTTAGGACGGGTAAAAAGGGTTATTTCCATTCCTGTACCAGACCAGATTTGTTTGTTTCTTAAAATTGCCAAGGCTTAAAATAACCTCAAACTTTGATGCTCATTTCCATTGTATTTCCAGAGATTCTCATATGACACCATTAGGTATGGCTTTATGAGGTTTAATAGATTTAGACTTTGGGAGGGAGATAAACTTGTGATAAACATTATACGTTAAGAAATAAAAAGTTTAATCTAAAGTGCTTTAAGATAATATAACAAATTACAAATTAATACATAATATGAAACCTAGAAAAAACTTAAGCAACTTATGGTTGTATGTAATAAAAAAATATTAAAAACCCTCAACCATAATGACCATTTTTATGTTTGAAAATCAAAATACTTTTACAAACGAGGCCTTCGATGAATGATATGTATAGATAATAAATAAATGGATTAGCCATTGTTGATTGCCATGATTGGCCCTCAAGATTTTCAGGAATACCAGCCTCATGCTTTCCAAAAGTTTAAAATATAGATAATATTATAAACAGCATTATATAGGATATAATTTTTTTTCTTATTATTAACTTGGTACGAACTAAAAAAATTACCGTAAAATTTAATAAAAAACAATTTTGAGAGGCCATAATATACAAGTCTTGATATATCTATTAATGTCAACAGCGCAAGTTTATATTATGCGATAACTAATAAATAGGGGTGATTTAGAGAATGCTAACCCTCGTTTGATCATTGTCCTTAAAATCGTGTTTTTTTTTATTTTTATTTATGCAATCCGTTATGTATAATAAGCATATTGTAGATGTTATATTTACAAAAGGCGGCTTGACAGAATGAAGAGGCAGATCAGTTAATTAAAGATATTGTTTACACATTTGTTTTCCTATTCGACTAGAATCTTTTTTTGGGGGTTGCCAGGAATAGCTGCGTCATTGATGAGAGGATTAGAACGATGATCGGTTCGGTTTCAGTCACAGCCAGAAAATGTTTGGGTCTTTGTGAATGGGTCTAACGTGATATGAATTAATTTAATCGGTTTTTTTTTTAAATTTAATCGATTATTTTTTTTTTTATGAATTTGTCCAGTTAACGAGGCACGGAAACCGGGCGCCGATTATTCAGTACAAGAACAACACTAACCGCATCAACTGGCCAAGGGGCTTGGGTGAGCTGACCGACCAGGGCATATGGAACGCTTACAGGGCCGGCCAAGCGCTCAGAGAGCGGTACATAAGCTTTTTGAACCCGTCGCAGCGGTACATCCCCTCGGAAATAGACGTGTCCACCACCACGGTAGACCGTTGCTACCAGACGGCCGGTTACCTGTTGGCCGGCATGTACCCTCCCAACAAACAGCAGACTTGGAACGCGGATTTGAAATGGCAGCCCGTACCGATCAAGATGAGCCTGTCCAGAGATCACCATTTGGTAAAAAAAAAAAATAATAATAATTAAAAAAAAAAAAAAATGCCTCGATAGCTCTGGACTAGTGATGTGCTATTAGGAATATTACCCAAGCAATGTTCCTGGGAACAAGGAAAACAAATACTAGTGTACCGTTTACCAGTTTTAATAAAACGCTATACAATACTGTTGGTAATTTTATTTTGGGTTTTGTTCATTTTATTTAAAGGTATTGTTGATTTTTATTTATTATTTTTGAAAGATTAATGACGAGTTGTAACTTGATGAATTTTTTAACGGATTTATTTAAAACTTGAAATTTGATTTAATTTAAACAGTGTAAATAATTATAAAAACAAAGTAATTATGTAAAATCCAATCTTTACACCGAAGACATTAAGCACCTATATAACTTGAATATTGTTTAGATTTATGTCTAGTATAAATAAAATATGTAACATGTGTACCTATTTGAATAATTTAAAACTATTAGTGTAATTAAATATCGAAACATATCAACAATATTTATAAATATTATAATATGTCCAATCAATTCCTGGTTTTGGAAATATTCCAGGGAATTTGCTCATCACTAGTCTGGACTTTAGTCTATATACCTACTCTGCACACAAGTCCTTTGTCTTTTTAACTAGGTATGTTGGAAACGGTTTTTTTTTTGTGTAAAAAAATGCGTTTTAGTATTGAAAATTGTTTTAATTTAATTTATTTAATTACAAAAAAACTGAATTATTTAAATGAAACTCGGTTTCCATCATAGCCTAGTAAATGTTGCAATACTATACAGTTTGTTAATAATAATATAGTATAAGAGTAATACGAACGGAAGTTTGGTATTTTTATAAAATCCAACACAAATAAAAATGATAAACAGATTAACACAGTTCGCTATTGCTAAACTTCACCATAACAATCAACTACGTATTTTATATTATAATGAAAACAACATATTATTATTATAGGTAATAATATCTAGTTACACAAAATATTAATTATTATTCCAATAGTAAAGAAGCCAACAAATTCTTTCTTCCTTATATTTTAACAGAATTGTAATGAGACCTACTAAAGTTTCAAAATATTGTCACAACAAAAAGCATTTTATACCAGTAAAATGCTTTTACTCATAATAAAGAATTTTAAAAATGCCATGGAACTTAAATATGTAGTATACTAATAAATAGGTAATATTATTTTTTATGGGTAGGTAATAATTTTTTTGAGAACTAACTAAATAACGTCAATAAGATTAAAATGTTGAGTTAGTGTGGGCTTTTGTTTAAAATATTTAAAAAAAATATAGTTTTTCGATTTTAAGGCGTATAAATTATGTTCCTTGCTTTAATTTTATAAAGGTAATTTTTTAAAGACATATTTTCTCTTATAAAGCCATATCAATTAAAAAAAAAAACTGTATTTTATTTTTTAAGTTTACCAAATTTTTAGACTTCTGATGGTCAATATTATTAAACTTCACATTTTAATCTAAACGAGTACCTAATTTTGAGGACTGCTAGCCTGCTATTTTAAACACGTTTTCGGGTTTAAGTAGGTTGTTATCTATTGTTTACAATAGAATGCAATACAATAATTGTAAATAGTGATATTTTATAGACAAGAACAATAGTTAACTAAACATAATAACTTACAGATTAGGTATATACAATTATTATTATGTAACACGTTTAGGCGTTAGTTATTTGGCTTGGACACGTGTATTTGTTATATGCAAGACACGAGTGTCAACTGATTACAAAGTCTACACAAGTATACATTGAGTTTCTTTTGTAAACCTATACAAACCACACTACCAATGTAAATTGCCTGTAGTATAATCCATCTAATGCAATCTATATGCCAAGAAAACCTATGAAAATAATTATCGACTGTACAATAGGTAGATAGATTGTCAATTTATCAAAACATACCTATTCGTTAAAACATGGCAAAATATGCTAATTGACAACTACATTATATTGTAAACTAAATTATAATTACCTACACAATAGAAAATCAGACAAACGATAATATTGCTATTCTTTTTTTTTATCTAGTTAGGCCAATGAATGTGAGAATGCAGATTCAGATAGGCTCACTGACTAGTGTAAACCGTATTATCTAATCTCATTGTCTATATGTAATGAAAGTTCACTAAAATAGTCTTGTTAAATGGTGTATATTTATTTTTTAGTTTGTGGAAAACGCAAACAATTGCCCCAAATATTGGGTTGACTTACACGAAGAGTGTGAAAACGCCATGAAAACTGAAAAAGTCAAAAGCTTAGTGAATTACATGAAAAATTATACGTCTAATCCTCTAAACACTATGTATGAAGTATTGCAAGTTTGCGACGTCATATGGACTGAAGTAAGTTGTTTGTTTATGCAAGTCCAAGCCAATAATCTTTCTTGCAATTCAAGAGGATAATGTATAAAATAAATAATAACTTTATCCGACTTGTCTTCAAATGGCTAATGGATCTGAATCTTGTAATAATATAAAAATACGCCTTTTTAATATTTATACATTTTTAAGTTTAAAAATTTATTTTATAAACACAATTTACAATTAAAATTAATTTTTTCACACATTAATTTATTTACCTACGGTAAATGACATAAATTCCATATTGAATGTTTTTATTTTTTATACACTATGAAAACTCGCACAACATTAAATTTCATTCATTAATTCACTCAAATATATAAATAAAATACATAACTATTATTATGACTACAACAAATAGTACATAGCTTATGTAACTTATATATTTTTCTATGCAAGTACTTTTAATAATGTAATTTAAACAAATATTTTTATAGCGCATGGCAAACTATTCAATTCCTAGTTGGGCGATAAAACGGTTTAATGATATCGAGGATTTCATGTTGTTGAGCATGAAAATAACGAACAGTAAATCTGATCAAATGAAACGTTTGTTTTCAGGTAACCTCATTTTGAACTATCATACATAAATCAATATTAGTCTCGGCAGTGTCGTATCCAAAGAGAAAATAGGTTAAAGGGGCTTAAGTTGAATATTATATATTTTCTTGAATTTCTTTGCTAAGTGTATATAAATAAGTTTAAGTTTGTGTAGGGTATTTAACAGGGTTTTCAGTTACACTTGTAATTACATGTCGTCAACGTTTCAGAAGACTTTTATCTTCCTTTGTTAGGTGCCAACTAACTTGTATACACCACATTATATGTAAACAATAAAAACATTTTTTAAATAACATTTTAGGAGATTTATTAGGTAATGTGTTGAATCGTATGAATGCAGTTTTAAATAAATCACCAGACGCCAAAAAAATATATTTACACGTTGGACACGATTCGACTATTGTCCCTTTACTTAACGCGTTGAACATACCAGGCATAGTATACCCATACTATGGGGCAGCAGTTCTTATGGAGTTATATGCAACACCTTCAAATGAAACATTAGTAAAGGTAAATAAAAATATCTATAAATAAATAACTACACACAAATGTTATTAAATTAAATGATTATTCCGTTATAAATTAGCTTCTTTACAACAAAAACTACGAATGGAAAGAATCAAACATTCAATTACTCGAACTACCCGGTTGTCCTTCACCGTGCGGACTAGATAATTGGCGCACACTCACACAAAAAATTATACCTCAAAACTTAAGTGAAGAATGCAAACTTTAATGAAAAAAAAAAAAAAAGTGCCAGAAACTAAATATGAGATTTTCATATTGTGTATGTTTTGTGGAATTTTATATATATAGAACAAAATTTTATGAAAATATAGAAAACCGTTCAGTCTGTCTTTGAAATTGCCTCCAAGCGTTCCAACAATTGTGGATGAGAATGATGCCATGCCGAGAACAGAGAGTCATAAACTGGGAAGCTCAGATTGTCATTGTTTAATCTAATTAATCCACTCTCCAGTGACTTTGCAAATCCTAGTTTTTTGGCAAATCTGTCCGCTTGAAATTCCAACTGCCTGCTCAATGTTGTCATTGCGAATGATATCACAGTGTTGTAAGGTGAAAATACATATTGGAATATAATCGCTAGACCAATAATAACGGGATGAGTAGTTTCATAAAATCCAAAGGCTCGATACAACATCGAATTGTCATACAGCCAGCCAAAGACAAAGAGCATGATAAACAAATTGACCTGGAATGCGATTAAAATAACACAACAATTTTAGTTATACAATGTAACTGTATATAAAATATATTTTATGATGTAGGCAATACCTGTGATATCATGATGAAGAATAAAATATGGTTTAATTTCCAATGTCCGAGTTCATGACCTAAAACAGCTAATATTTCATCATCGTCCATTCCCTTACCATTCTCTTCTTTATTATCCTTCAACAGTGTATCGTAAAGAACAATACGTTTGTTCTTGAAAAATCCATAGAAATAGGCATTACTATGAGCTGATCTTTTCGAACCTAAAAAAAATTGAATCTGTTAGAAAATTAACTAAGTACAATGCATATTTTAATACTTTTAAAAATCTATTCGGAAAGTATGTGCTAGAATAAAATTTAAAGAAAAATATAATAGGTATTTTTGCTCTAAAATATGCTTTATACACAAAGTAAAATAGATAATGCTTTGTGCTTAGCTGTGTTTAGATAAGTAAAATAGTTAAACGGTACCGAGGGCTCTGTGATGGTCTGATAAAATAATTAATAACCAATAAAGAGTTGTCAAGACTACACTAATAAATTAAATACACAATCGTTTTGGCTTTAAATTAATATTCACAAAAAATTGCCTACATAGTACTCTTTAATAAATAGGGGGTATAACGTTTCTCTAAGCAGCACATTACATGCTGTACTTGTACTTAAAAATATATTTTTACCTTCAACAATATAAACTTTGTATAACGGAAAGTTGACCTGTTTTGCAAGTTCTTCGATTTTGCTTTTTAAAGTTCCTTCCGGCAATAGAGTGTATTTGTCAAACAGTGGAGCGATAAATTCTGGATATATAGTCATTAAAAATAGCGAGGTTACTACCGCAAACACCCAAAGCCAAATGAAGAAATAACGTCCGCCCCATTTTACAATGGCTATTGAAGCTGCGGTAATCGGTAAACCAATGACTTGGATTAGCAAGAATTCTTTCAAATTATCTTTAATGAAGAAATTCATTGTCTAGAGAACAAACAAATAATATATTCTTAAAACACCAATCAAAGAGAAATGTTAACTTTCATTTTACCTGTTTATTGAAACCATGTTTTTCTTCTATAACAAAAGTGTTATACGCAGATATAGGTATAGAAATAATTGTACTCATAGTATTTGATACCAGAAGGAATATACAACTGGTCATGATTTCGCTTTCTGCGTATCTTGTATTGGCCAAACAATTTTTACTAAGATTCCACAGTAAGGTAAAACCATTTAAACAAATAAAACCCTGAAAATATTTTTAGTGGAATAGCTATTATCTATCTATAACTACTATTTCGATACATCAAAACTTAAATTCATGAAGATGCTTACGGTAGAAATAATCATATTGATCCATTCTTTAGTAATACCAAACGTATTTTTATCCAGACCATAAGTTTTTGCTTTCTGAAATGTTTCTACGTCTAATACGCCATCTAGTTTTCCTGGAATCTTTTCAGTTGTTTTGTAAACACGTCTCTGAAATACAAGAAAAATATTAATGATAAAAGTATTAACAGTAGTCAACTACAATATTTACTTTGTACTTATGGACTACAGTGATAAATCATGTGTTTAGAAAATCTGTTTTTACTATCTACTTGTCTAGATTACGACCTCACATATAGTGTGTCATCTATATCATTATACCCTAATTTTGCCGCCCATACAATCCTGTAAAAAGTATGTGTCGTATGCGTATGAACATTACAAATGAGATCTAAAATTTTTGACGGCCTTTGTTTAAACCATTTTGTACCACTATAAGGTGTGTTTCCATTAAAATTCTGCCAAACCCAAAATTAGGAGCATCCTACTATTCATACCTTACACACGCACTATTATAAGATAATTAGGTATACAAATAATAAACATATAAATCTAAAATTGTTGTGTAAATAAGTTCATTAAAGATTTAATACAATAATAATTCTCAAAGTTCTAGTAAATATAACTTTTAAACTAGAGGAGTCTATGAATTTCCCCTACACAGTGTTTAAGAGACCCCTTAACCTAGGTTCTCAATAAACAAATTGGGCCCAGTACAATGTTGTGCTGTCTAACATTAATACATCTTAAGTTACAAGTCATAACACGCAGCATGCAAAATGCAACGACTTCTGAAAAAAACACGTCTAGTAATTATTTTATTTTTATAAGACTTGTTAACAAAAAAAAAAAATTTCCGTCCAGATTAAAAAAAAGTAATTAAAAACGTGTACCCCCCTATCCATTTGTGTAAATTAATACAAAAACATAAATTCTAAATAAAATTAGTGTGTGTACACGTGTTACATTTCGCAGATGTTACAATTTGTTAATGGTTGTTAAACGTTTACCTGTCTTAACGACAAATACTGTTCCCAAAGAAACTCTATCCATGAAAACGTAAGCACTCCGTAAAAAACACAAAATTCAGGAATCATTTTGGATAAAATTGTACACACTATGAATAATACTATATAATATAATGTTGGATATTAAATGACATTCATTGTAGTAAACATTATAAACGATTGCACCACAAGACTAAATGTAATGATTTTCTTAAATAAGCATCAAAGAAGAAAAGAACGCCGTAGTGCCGTACCGCAAACGATGGAGATAATGAGCAAAAAAAAAACAACGAAGGTAAATAATGAAAATTGTATACTGAACGCTTTGGAATGATAACGACGTCGCCGGTTCAGAAATTATACCATGGTAACAACACTCTTTGGTGTTTAGTTCTGAGTAACCAATTACACTTTGATAAGACGTTTTATTAGGAATACACCATTCGGTAATCCATTTCTAAGGAGTAAAGTATAGGCAATTATTCGCAAAATCGTAATTTAGAGCTTGAACAGTAGTGTATCTATCTACTATAGGAATGACTAATGAGGATTCTTTATTGGTTGCCATCTTTTTGTCAAAACTGTCACAGTCATTTGTTTAGGATAAAATACAATTTTTTTATCGTCAAAAGTCACAATTTATAGAGAAGAATTTGATCTAAAGTTTTTATTCTTCTGATAATACTTATAGGTACTTAATAATTTTTTGTAGAAAAATTAAAAAAAACTAATATTTACGGAATGAATAATTTTGATTGTGTACAAATAAAATAGAGCCTAGAAGACATTTTTAAAACGCTTAAGCATAGATAAACAAAACTATTTGATGGAAAAAAATTGTGATTTTTACGTTGGAATGACTGTGATGGTCACATAAAAACATAGCCATGTTTAAAAATAATAGCCAATAAAAAATCTTCGTAAATGTATTAATAAGTATACAATGTTTAAGCTCTAAATTAGGATTTTTCAAAAATTCTGCTTAAGCTTTCCTTCTTAATAAATAGACGGGAAGCACCCAAAAAGTAATATTATTGACATTGCTGCACTGAAAACACTATTTGTCCGCTCTCTTGTATATTTTAGATACTCCATTTTCATATTTTATTCAAAGAATTAATTATAGAATATTATCTAGGCATACCTGTGATTATATTACATCCAATCAAGGTGGATTGGATTAACCTAGCATAGTGTACAATGTAATTTGTTATCATTGTCCAGTGACTATCTATACTGATTTCGTTTATTATGTGATAGTGTAATATTATCAAGTTTCTATCGCAGAGTCAAAGACTTCTATACTAAGTAGAAGTCTTATAGATTAAAGTCTGTGCATGGAATAGACTAGATTTAATCTTAAAACAGCTCTGAGAGCAGCTACAGTCAAACAATATTTTTATTTTTATTTATAAATTCACCTTGGACGTCCCGGCTCCGTTTTTTAATGATAATAGAATGCAGATCAAACACGATAAATACACGGTATTGACGGCGTGCTGTTGGCCAGACTGTACAAGCCGGTGACGTCAATACCGTGTTAAAACCTGCTGCGTCCCAATATTGGCTGACAGTATAAAAGGAGTCGCGGCACATGGTGAAACTTGGGTTTTTCTCCCGAAAACCTCACATACAACGTTGCTTCGGCACCGTTTTTTTTTTTAATTTTAACATATATCAAAAAAAACTTATTTAGTTCTTCTAGTGCAATAACAGTTTTTTTTTAAATTTCTATTAACGCTCCGATATGTCTCTATCCCAAACAACTGTGGTAAGTTTTGTATGTACTCAATATTAGTGTCGCCATATGCCACATATGCATGGAAGCCGTTGATTCCGTCTGAAATTAACGTCGACGGTCGTTGACAATTTTTACCTTTTATAAAAGCCAAAATAATCGACCAGAAATTTACATTTAATCTAGGATAAAGTTGTTATAGTCGGATGTGAAGGTTATTTTGTAGGTCAATATGGTACTTGAGATTCATTCGGTGTCTTGAAATTTAATACTACTGTAACAAATGGCTTTTTGAACATTTGTTGTTTACATAGTTATTGTTGAGAAAAATAATGCGGATTTTTTTTTCTGGTACAGAAATGTAATATTATTTTTTTTTTTTGTATTGGTTGATTGTTTGGCCCAATGTCTTGATTGAACAATTTATTTGGTGCTTTTCTTAAAATTTGTTACTCTGTTATTTTTATAATAAATTAAATCCTTATACACAATACCTAGGCTATATTTGTTTAAATTCAGCTGGTGTTATCATATTTTTGCTTATTTTAATATACAGGTTTTGTAGTTCTTGTTTTTATTAGAACCCAGCGCTGTATTGAGACTTCAGTCCACCGACTAATTTTAAAATTCTATCAGCCCTCAACAAAAATTTGGCCCATTCAACAAAACATTTTGTACCTTACTCTTATTTTATTTACACTCTAAGCAAAGAAAGAATGTATTAATTTTTTTTTATGATCACTTAGCAGGTGTGCATTTATTTATAATTGTTCCTTTTTGGCACATTTACCAATTATCCAACACATTGTATAAGTTACCTAGTATACTTTAGCAAAGGCAATATTTTTATTTTTTACTTATCTTTATACTATGCGTATAAAAAACTACCTCATAGAAATATTTAAAAATGCAAAATGTTTCTATTAAAAATCTAAATTTGATTTAGATTAGGTTAGGTAAATGCTATTTTCACCTATTTCATCTTACACTCATGACCAAATTTTACGCAGTCCACAAAGATTTTCTCGGTATCTAGCCAGTTCAATCCAGGCCTGTTTAAACCGTATTTTATTCTTTCCAAACTGGTTCGTCTATCTCATGTAATTTTTGTATTATTTTTAGTTTGTCAAACGCTACTATTTGTTGCGTTTTAACAATGAGCTTCCAAATTATTGGTTGATTGCCATATTAAATGTAAAATCTGGTTTTCTAGCTCTCACAAACAATATTAGTATGATGCTTACCATTGTGTGTTGCATTGTACACGTTCCAAGTTTAAGGTAAAAAGAGCGGCTTATTTTAAAAAAATTTTAAATGATTGAAACTTATGTTGTGTCATTTTGGGTAGCAGTATTTATATTACCTGTATGTGAATGGCCTTTATGACTTGTGGATTTTTTTGAAATGTTTAAAATTAAAATGCTTAGTTTAAACAATAGATACACAACAGATAAAATTACATTCAGACCTTCTGTCCTACTAATGATGTACTATCCCAGGGACATATTTTATATTTTACCTTTTTCCCCTGACTTGGTCTGGGATTTGGTGAGACACTTAAAATGCGTCTATACCTACGGATGCATACATATAAGTTTTTTAGATTTGTATTTCTTATATTTAACTCCCCCCTCCCTCTTGAGCTTTTTTAAAGTTCAGTTTCATTCCTTAATATTTAAACTGTTTACATAGATGCAAATTTAACAATGACAATTAATAAAAAAGTATTAAGTTATATAATGAAGCTCTCAGCTTTGACAGAAGTATTGTGCGGTGGGGCAGACAATGAATGTTCGCACGGAAATCGAACTTGATACCTTTAATACCAAGTTTGACTTCTCCTACCAATGTACCACGAATGTTAATGAAATATTTAATTTGTATTTTCAGTTAAAGTTATACGAATCGGTAATTGAAGATACTATAAATGGATCTCGTGATTTTTTTGCTGAAGAAGGCATTGATGAACAGATTTTATTGGAATTGCGTGCATCTTGGGAAGCTAAAGTAAAGGCCAGTAAAGCACTTGATCCACCTGTTCAACAAGAAGTCACTCACCTCCCTAAAGCTATTCCTCAGCAACAGTCTGTTGTCAACAAGCAAATTAAGGGTGGCCAATATGCACCAACTATAGTCAGTGAGTTATAGATTTTAATTAACTACTACTTATGATTAAAAATTATCGTAAGACGTGGTAGTACTTATTTTGAAAGACAATTTTTTTTGTACAGATAATAGTGTACAACAATTAAAAATGTTACAACAACAAAAAATGCAACAGCTTCAACAACAGCAGCAGCAACAACAACAACAACAACAGCAGCAGCAGCATCTACAACAACAGCAACAACAAAAACAACAACAACAGCAGCATCTACAACAACAGCAACACCAACAGCAGCCGCAACAACAGAATAATCTGGTTTTACCCACTGATTATGCCAATAAATATGTTCCAATTCAAATTACGTTACCAGCTCAATCTGGTTCACAAGAATCAGGTCCGAGAGTTCTTTCAATTCAAGTTCCAAGTTCTGCTATACAAGGTTTTGTTTTAGTATATTCTTATGGAAATAATTAAATTGGATATACTGTAACAACTTTCTTGTGTTCGTTTTTCTTAGGTAATATATTGCAAAATATTCTTACTGGACCAGTTATTACCAGTAGCATGGCATTACCTACACATTTAGCAACAGCACTTTTGCAGCAGCACGTTAACAATGTTCTACAAGGGCAGACCATATCTGGTAAGAAAATATTATTTGCCCTTATATGTAATTTAATAAATATTTGTATAATATAAATATAATGTGTCGTACAAATTATTATGTTCATTGAATTATAATTTGTTTTAAATACTGCTCTACAATTATCAAAGCATTTAACCGTAGTAATTTTTTGTTTTTATCTACGAAAATTGATTATTATAGGTTTTAGGGATAATGATTACAACTAACAACTATTTTTCTTTAATTATTTAATTAATATAAATTAAATATAAATAAAATCTTATTTATTTTATAGGTAAATAATTTTGAAAAGATTCAAAAGTTTATTAACACTAATAATTTTAAGTTTTTATAGTGTATTCAGGTTAAAGGTTGTTGCTATAATATTGTTGTTTTGGTTTTTTTCAGTTTTAAGCCCTGACAATTAACTGTTTAAAGTATTATTAAATTATAAGAAAATACATAACCAATAAATAATGGAACAAGCTCTGTCTCTTGATACCATGACGTAATATATTATAATGTAATCTTTTCATTAAATTAGGTGTTCAAACTGTTCAAACAACTGAAGTAGTACAACAGCAACAACTCCAACAAAACAATCAAGCATTCATTAGTGGGAATGGTACTCCAGGAGGGGTGAAGAGAACCATCGCACAAGTTGATGGTGCTAACGATTCTTCCACGTCAGATGATGACGACGACGATGATGATATTGACGATGAAATAGGTGACGATGATGATGATGATGACGAAGATGATAATAATGAACAAAATAGTGCTTCAGATGCAGTAAGTATCATGTAATAGATATTCATATAATTAATCAGCTTGCATTACCAATTTAGTTTTATTTTATGTTGTACGTTATGTCTTGTTGATTTTAAATAGTCATATCAATTGATTTTTGTGAAAGTTTTTCAGATAATGTTTCACTTTTTTCTTTTTTCTTTTTATTGGTAAATAATTTTGTTTATGAGTACACCCAAAGTCCTTTCATAAATAGAACTGTTTTTATGTAATTCATTAGCAATTCTATAAATTAATAATACGTTATACCAGTACTTAAAATGTAACATTTAATTTATAGGAACCACTAAATTCTGGCGACGATGTTAGCGATGTTGACAATGGTGACTTATTTGAAACCGACAATGTAATTGTTTGTCAGTATGATAAGGTAATTTGAAGTTTAAATTATAATCACATTATTGACAAATAGTTATCCATTTCAAAATTAAATTAATAAAAAAAAAATGTTTTGATTAGTGTATTCTTTTTTTTTTAATTTCTTTTATTCTGATTTACTCTGTAGCTGATAAATATATTGCCAACTTATCACATTATAAAATATGTATAATTATATTTTGAGACCGAATATGAATTAAATAAAAAATTGTGGTTTTAGATTACTCGTAGCCGAAACAAGTGGAAACTCTATTTCAAAGATGGAATTATGAGTCTCAATGGCTATGATTATGTTTTCCAAAAAGCAACTGGTGATGCCGAATGGTAATTTAGGTAAAACTCCATTCACTTGTATCCTAGCGACAGCAAAGTGTGCTAAATATTGTATTAGTCGTCGACCCTTACCCTGATGTACAAAACCATTGTATGAATTTTATGTCGAGCAAGACATATTTCCTTAATATGTACTTATTGTGACAAACGTTAGTAAAGGTTTTTGTATTTAATTTTAACTCGGTTCTTCTGTCATATTATATTAAGAAAACGTAATACTATTATATTTTAGACTTATTGCGATTGACATTACATCGTGTAGTAGATAATAATATGTATTATTTTAACTGCTATTAATTTATCAATAATTATGCTGTTTATCTTCCTTTGCATGTTTGTGTTTTTTTTTTGTAGAAATGTGCCATGTTAAATAAATACTTTACTTACATAGGTTTTGGGTAATAACTAATATATTTAATTATATAATAACGTAAAACAAATAATCAGAAATACTTGGCAGTAAGAAACGTAATGATACTTGTAAAACATACTTCAGACATGTAAAAAAATAAAATAGAATAAGTAATTACGTTATATATTAAGTGAATTGCCTTAGGAATGACAATTATAAGTACTACTGTTGTGGCCTTGACGTTGATGAGTTGTTAGTTACTAACTTTACCTTGTATGCTGTGTCATTAATTTCATATAATAGGCTATAAACATCAAATGTGTGACAGCATACGCCAATGGGTATTTTCCTTGGTATAATTTTTGGAATTTTACTTCATATCTCAATAGCTACTTTAAGCAATTATAATACAAATGTATAATTAACATTATTAACGTTTTTTCTTTCTAATCATAATGTTAATAATTAAACCTAAAATATATCACTAAATTACCATGTAAATACCAACTTAGACTCGCTTGTACAAAAATGCCTTCAATTGTATAGACTATTTAAATATTGACTAAAAAATTTAAGTAATCTTTAATCTTGTAATTTCTTGTTGTCGAAGGCTTTAATACTCATACTGAATAAAGAATAAGAAAATGTACCTATAACAAGTAATTTTTCTCAATCAACTTGGCTTCTCATTGCAGCTGAAATGTTAGTTGATTTAACAATTATATAATGGTATAATTCCTATTTAACGTAACAAATAGAACTAATTAATTTAATTTAATAATGTAAATATTAAGTTGTATGCACAGTTAGCATGTTATAATTTGATAATGTTGTTTTAAGTCCAAACTACAAAATGACTACATTTCAAGAGAAACAATTATGTTGACTAAAATAGTAAAAAAAAAAAATGTATTTAATTGTTTAATTATTGGAGACAAGAAGGATATATATATCCCAATTAATCTTTTAATTTAAAATTTTGATAAAATAAAATTAGTCTGACAATGTTGAAATTTTAAAACGAAAGAAATAATGCTTTAAAATACTTGAAATTTTCACATAATAGTCATTTAATTTTTAAATAAAATGTTTGTTTATTTTTAAAAATTAAACAAATGTTTCGACTAGTACTTATATTTTTGGTTCAACCTAAACTTTCTTTACTTATGTTTATGATTATGTCTCATGTTGGATTTAATGTGACTTGTATGTTATCTAAGTAAATGTGTAATTATAATTATTTGTAAGTGTGAAGGTTTGTTTTTTTCTAATCTTTAATAAACGAAGTTTTGTTATAAGCTCATAAATAATATTCTTTAAATAATATTTATCTCACACAATGTTTATAAAACTTGTATGCTAGCTTAATAGTTGCATTAATTGGGTGAAAGATGATAGTGAGGTCCGATGAAACATTAGACATTAGACCAGTTAAAGTTCAAGCATATAATAGACAAAAGTAGTTTTACCTATTAAACGATGTACCCAAATTGTGTGTTAACTGATAACCTTATGTTTGCCAACATAAAACTTATATTTATGCAATACTACATTTTCTGTAAAAAAACATTTTAAAATGTCTATAGTGAGTGTCAGCTAAAAGCCTAGGACTTGTAGATTTAACTAATTAAAATATCAAACTTGAGTATTCCTAATAAAAAAGTCATCGACAAAATTACTAAGTATGGTCTTGAGCTAATTATTTATAGGAGTGTACGCTTTTTTTGTAATCAAAATATTTTGTTGTTGGTAAATTTGAATTTTACCAATATTTCTTATGTCAAGACTTGATTGGGGTTGTATTGTATCAGTATTTTAAAAATAAAGAACAGACATGAATGATGGTTATAACATGTAATAAGTTTATTCTAAAAAAACAAACTAAAAACAATTATTGACTGTTGATACTTAAATATAAAGTACACACATTGTAATACAATTTTAAGTGATACTTGTTCTACATAAGTATTGAAATGCTTAACAAACTACAACATATAAATTAAAGTATATTTGAGGAGACGTGCCAAGTATTTCAATCTATTTATAACACACCTAAAACTATGGTTTATTTCTATAAGACTACTGTGATAATTGTTGAAAATTAGTTTTCTTTGGGTAATAATTTTGGTAACATACATTAAATATTTAACAACTACATACAGACATACTAAGTGTATATGTAAATACTAGATTTTAAGCGACTTTGTTTAACAAAAATGATAACATAAGTAACTTTATGAAGCAAAAAAAAAACATTGAATACACAATAATACATAATACAAACTGATAGTTATTTGAAACTTCTAAAATTAATAAATACATTTAAATGAGGTGCTGGTTTTGATCGGAATGATGATTCAAGCGTCTAGTGTTCAAACAAGATTTTTAAAAGCAATTTAATATTGACGGCTGCATTAATACAAATTCAAAGCTATTAGTCTTAGTCCAGGCAAATGTAAAATTTGTTCATTTGAATAAGGCTAATAATTTTAAATTCTCAAAATAATCACACTATATTTTGTAATAACCTATTCACTCTTTCCCTTGGGCGGTGCGGGTGGTGGTGGGCGAGGAATGTTCAAAGAGACTTTCACAAAATCGTATATGAACCATTGCAAAGCTGTCAAGGTACCAATCATAATAATCCTAGGGCCCAAACCTTTCCACAAACCACCAAATCCAATTTTCTTCAGTACGTCGACAGAGGAAGCGCCTTTTTCTTGGTTCAATTTTGACACAAGTGTGTCGGCAGGATGAGAAACAACAGCACAAAATACTCCTGCAATGTAACCAGCAGCGAAGGTAACTACCAGCTGTTCTCCTTTGGTACACTCGGCTCGGGGCTTGGGCACAACATGCATGTAAATTAATTCGACGGTTCTTTCGAAACAAGCAAACTTCATCATGGTGTATGGAATTTGCCGCATCCATAGTGGTACCAAACTCTTAAAGAATGCAGACACACCTTCTTGTTGAATCATTTTCGGAACAGCTTCACGCATGTTATTTGCGAAACCCGGAGTAGTTTGAATTTTGACTTTAATGGACTCGAGAGGCACAAGACCGATGTCTGCAAAAAGTTCTGCTGACGCCGAAGCTGCTAAGTAAAGTGATGTCCGCCAGTAGTAGGAGTTTTCTTCACCAATAATGTTGCCGTACAAAATTTTAAAATATTCGTACAGTCCAAACTTTCCCAAGCCCTGAATGGAATAACCAATGGCGGTAGGCGCCCAGCCCTTAGCCAACCCCCTAACACCTTCATCGGCCATGGTAACTTTGAAGCCGTTGATTAAGTTCTTGTACTTTGCTGGGTTTACTTGAAGCCGGCACTTGACCAAATCCAGAGGTGTAACCATGGTGTGAGTTAAACCGCACGATATGATGCCGCCCAAACCGCAGAGGGCGAAGTATTTCGGAGAGCCGAATTCACAGCTATCCTCATTTGCTGCAGCGGCGGCAGCAGCAATCGTTCTACCTGAAAACCAAGTTTATCATTTCACACTCACAAGCAGATCAGTGGTAGTGGCTGTGATGCCTCAATTATTATTTATATTATGTATTTCAATTTACCTGGTACAAGATTAGGATTGAACTGAGGGTATTTTCTCATTGCGTTTTGCTGGTCAGCCGGTTTCTTCAGTTGATGAAAAGGCGAAATCATTTTGAATGTGTTGAGGAAGGATTGACGATGGGGCCGAGTAGTTTAAGGCTAGCACTCAAAATTCGAGCTGCAGCTAATATAGGCCAAACCAACTTGAGCTGAAAGCCGTAGTAAAAAAAAATTTAGGGATTATCAGCAGATCTCAGAGGTCAGTCGTTCGTCAGGTTGTTCAAAAGTGGAAATTTGTTTTTACTTATAGTGGCTTGAAAATATTGTAATCTCAACGGTTTTTGAAATAAAAAAATGTTATATCAACGTAAGCGTTCATTTGAAAAATTAACTATAATTTATTCCAATGGTTAATTACAAAAATTATTTTAAGAAATTTTACTTCTGGGAAACAATACGATACACGGTGCTGATAAAATTCTATTAAGTGTGTTTGCGGTACATTTTTTGTTTTCTCACAAGCAAGCACTGATGATAACGCATTGATAACGTTTTCCCGGCATTTCGGTTAATTGCACCTCAGCTGTCGTCGAGCATGTAATATTTTTACATAGATTTAGCTGAATTATAATATTGATTTGACAACAGCGATAACGTTATAATATATCTACATGATCGACATCAATTCAACTATATTTAAATAGTAAATACCCACTAATCACTATTACACTAAACTGTTAGACCAGCAGTTGTTTTGTTCATTTGAGAAGCAATTGCTTTATTAGTGGCTTTATTAATAGCAACCCAATTGCTCTCTTGACTTTTACTCAAGTTATCGTTAATTTAATTAAAATGTACAAATAGAAGTATAATTCTACACGATTAACACGTTATTATAGTTCGTAATAAAAATGATGCCCAAAAGTTTTTTCTTCATCTTTTTAACTATCCTCAGCGCAACAAACGAAGGTAATACACCTGTTAATTATAATATTATCGGAAAGAATGCAGTTTAGTTCCCAGTCGCTTTTTTCGATTTTTTTTTTTAATATATCATAAGTGTTTTAAAAGGTGAAGGAATTTATTTCAATAATTTACTATGTGTAATGTTTTACAGTGGGCTATTTAAATTTGTTAGTGTTATATGGCTACCTGGAAATATGAAATATCTTTATTTACCTCGAAATTGGTTGTTCATAGTTCTGTGTACAAAGTGGACGTAACCTTTGACTGATTCAAATTGTTATCTTTTGTACTAAGTTATTTTTTCTATATTAAGAGTTTTCTGTAAGGTCTCGTTACATGATAAAAATAATAATCAAATGCACTTTGAATTACCAATTGAACGTATGAAACGAACTTATGCTGAAACATTAGAAAATAAAACAAATAAATACAAAACAAGTTTTTCTGAAAAATAGTAAAAAAGAATTTTACTACAATAACAATTTAGCAATCAACTGTATCACATTTTTTTAAATATGTCAATTACTTTGAAAACAGCTGAAAATTTACTTTAAATTCATTGAGTTAAATATTATGAAATGTATGTGTCACACACTAATATTGGACCAAATTTAAATTACAAAAAAACTTACAATATAAAATATCTGATATAATAATTAGGGACTTTGTTGAACAGGGCTCATGCTTTTTCTTTTAGTAAAAATTAAAGATGTTTAACATTGTTTAAAATTGTAGTTAATTTTCAGCTGTTTTCAAAGTAATTGACATTTTATAAAAAAATGTGCTACAATTGATTAGTAAATTATTCTTGTAGTAAAATTAAATAGATTTGTTAAATTTATCAACTTCTACTTCAGTTGTGACGAAAGACTCAAAAATGCCGCTTATACAGGAATTTTCAGTAAACAGGATTACTGGCAATATTACGAGTACTTATTCTGGTGAGACTATGCTGTGTAAATTTATAAATTAAGTTGTAATAACTAATACTTAATTGATATTAAGGACAACCTCAACAAGTTGATGTAGAACTCCCTCAAACTAAAGAAACATTAATCAAAAACAATATAACCAGAACTAAAAATGTAAGTGTGTACAATTTTAATTATAAGATCATAAACTAATATATGTTGTATATTAGACTTCAGAATATGTTCCACAACAAAGTTGTTTCTTTGAAAGTAGAGATAATATATTAATTGCTTTTTCTTATAAACGCTATTACATATTTAAAGAGGGTTTTCCTGACAAAATATTTAGCGGTTTATACTATTTTTTCCCCTTTCTAATTACTATATAATAACTTTATTAAAAGGGTTCACTTTTTATTATAATGTGATTTTTTACTCTAGTCTTAGCAAATTTAAAAGTATATTATTAATATATTAAGTAAATTTACATATGAAATCATAATTATAACATTATTTATAATAATTAATAGGCGTTATAATATATTTTTATACACTAATTATTTTATAATGCATTTTCTAGGATTCTCATGTATACTATAATAGTACTACTATAAATGACTCCAATATATTCAAAAAAATTTGGAAAGAGCTAAACAATAATCCAGACGGAAATGTACATGATATGTTGACAAATTCTCATTGTAGAGTATATATAGCAGTAACTAATTTTTATTTTTATTTTTAAAAAAAATGTTTTATTTATAGTAATTTTTACTGTTTAAATTATTTTTAGACGGTTGATTTAACTTTCCAGTTTCTGTTCTATGATCATCTAATAAATACTATTACAATTGATACTGGGGGATTTTTATATTTTGGAGATTATGTTTATTCATGGTTACCTGCTACTCAATATGTGGCTCCTTTGAAAGCCAACTTTAATATTAGTGTTTCAGACGAATCAAATATTTATTATATGGATAATGGAACTGCTTTCACAGTTACTTGGCAAAATGTGACTTTACATAATAAGCCTAAAGCAGGAGAATTTACATTCCAGACCACTCTACATTATAATGGGCCATTGTGTTTGCTTATAAGTACTTACCAATGTCATTGAAAGCTATTGATGATTCTAGTGATCCAATAAAAATAGGATTATCAGATCCCTATGTAATAGAAAAAACTAAATTCTGTTAGTACGGTTTTATTAAATGGAATAATTTGGCTTATTTTATTGTATAATTAAATTTGTTTAGTTGTAAAGCGAACAACAGTTTATGAACACCATCGACTGACATTTAACAATGATGAAGTGCCAAATGGTACTGTAATAGTTCTAACAGCATTTCCAAATTGTTTAGAAAAGAAAAATTGTAGAAGCTGTGTGAAAAAAAAATAATAACTATCAAGTAATATTTATTTTTATGTATTATAATAGGAATTATTCATGACATTCCAGTTTTTTTTTGTTTCAATTGCCTATAGTATTATTTTTAGTAATACCACTAGGTTTAAACGTATAAAACTATCCATTTACATATATTTTTTATTTTCACAGCGTTTTTGGTGTGACAATCGTTGCTTTTTGTGGGTTGATATAAACAGTCAAGAATGGAATAAGAAAGATTGTGAAAAGTTAAAACTTATTAATGAAAAAATGTGTATACAATGACATCACAACTTTATAAAACTTAACTTATCTCACTGAGGTCTTATCAAAACATTTAAAATTTATATCAAATAGGTAATAATAATTAAAAATTTTTGTTTTCGTTTTCAGTCAGGAGCCAAATTTAGAGGGGGTGGGATAAATTTTGAAATTAAAATACCACTGTATACTTATAATTAGTTTTTTAAATTAGAAATAATTTGCTGAAAATGTTGATTGGTCGATAACCAATTTTGAGTTGGTACTTTTAAAATTATTAGAGTTAATTATTTAAGAAGAATAGAGTGTAGTACAGTTTTAAAAATTAGTGTAGTACCTCCCACCCTACATTTTAAATTCTAATAACTTTAAAATCAACGAGTCATAACTCGACCAGTCAACATTTTCAGCAAGTTATTCTTAATTCAAATAACGAATTAAATGTGTACCTACATAACCATTCTAGTTTCAAATGTTACCTCTTTTAATCTAGCTTCTGACTGATTTATTTTGTTAGCATAATGTTGCTGAAGTAAACAATCGAATAAAATTGTCGACACTCTCATATTATTATTTCAAATTTTAGCGTAGTGAAAATGAGTATGATTCATTTTTATAACGTTTTTATGAACTCACAATCTTGTTATCATATTTTAATCAATTTTTGTTATGAACATTCCACAGTTCAATGGGAAGTTATTGATGAACATTTCTTATGTGGTAAATTTTGGTATTATTTGTTTTTTTTCTATTTTTTAAAAGATTCATTCACATTAAAGTGGTCTTTGACTCCATTTTAATGTTATAGCTTTAAAATTATAATAATAATAAAATACTAAAATATACTATGTAAACAGACAGGCCACAACACAATAACACTGATGTTGGTAATTAATAATTTATGTATACCTGTGAATAATGCTGTTTTCCCCATTCGGTTGTTTTTTTTATGTTTTTCCAAAATTCAGAAATATACCAGGAAAGTAACATATAGTAGCAATAATGAAAAGCAGAAGAATAAGCTGTGTAGGTCATGTATGTAGGGAACAAGAACAAATGATCCAAGATGTTGTAAAATGGATCCCAAAAAGTAAAAGACCACTAGGACGCCCAAGACAAAGATGGATGGATAAAGTGTAGAAAGACCTTAAAATGTTAAGAATAAACAATAGCAATCAATAGGGAGAGATTGAGAGGAATGGTGGTTGCGGCGAGGGGCCTAAATGGTTTATATTATGTCAATGAAGAAGAAAAAGGAATAGTTGAACGGCGTACGGTATATGCAATTTTAGTACGTCTGTGCGTTTTAACCCAAACGGTCAACTTATTATTATAAACAGGAGAACAAAAAAACTGGTTATAGATCATTTATCCTAAACTATATTATGTACTTGATAGGTATTCCAGATTTAAGATTAAACTTTGATAGATACATCCGAATCCAGATAGTTTCAAACATAAAGTAATATTTAATAATAACTATTTAAAGTAGTATTGGTATTAAAAAAAACAAGTTAGTTATGTTGTGTTTTTTTAATTAACTAGGGACTGTGCCTATAAAGGGTGGTTTTTAAACATTGTATTTTTTTACTTTTAACACTGGAATGTTAAAGCATAATGAGTTTTATAATTTCCCAGAAAATAGGAATCTTATGTTTTATTGTCCACATGTTCTATTTTCGTGCATATTATAAAATGAAATGATCAAGAACTAAGAAGATATAAGTGAAACAATGTTATTGAACAGTCGACAATGGCAATATTACTATCGAAAATAATACAAGTAAACTTCTAAAATTTATAGTATAATATATCTGACAGTATATGTATGTATGTCTTCTGGGTAATTTTAGTTGCATGATATTCTTTTTGAACTTCCAAAATTATTTAACAAATATCTCTCCTCTTCCGGCGCAAATGCACTGTACACTATTGTAAAAAGCTTTTACTCCTTTTTCAAGTTCATTTATCTCGTCTGACAGGTTAATTCGACACACGATAAGTGGTGACAAAAATAAAATCTATTTCGCAAGCATATATGCATCTTTATTTTATTAAGTTTATATTTTTTTCCGTTCATTTATCATTGTTAATCGATGATTATATCTTATATTTTGACGTTTTGCGTTTTAAAAAGAGTTTAAAGGATGTGAAGGCTGACGATATTTTTATACTAACTGTGGTACATTATTCATAATTTTGTAAATGTAGATTTTCAAACATCATAAAACGATAATTGCTGGTGAGAAATAAAAAGTGTCTTTTCGGTTAACGATCGCTTTGATTAAATCACATTATACTCTATTATAATCGTACATTTATCCAATACATATTTATATATATATATATATATATATATATATATATATATATATATATATATATGTGTATATTGGGGTGAGATTAGTTAAATATGCATTTTAATAAGTCTGCAATTACAATTATTTTTAGTTAACAGCTAACACATACTTGGAATTTTGAAAGACAAAATCGTTGTCTTAAAATATCTAGGGTGTTAAGTCATTATTTTTTTAAGTTTTATTCATTTTAACAAATGAAAACAAATTATAAAAAAAAAGTTTCAATGATAAAAGTTAAATAATTTCCGAATTCGCATTATTTCTTACAATACTATTTTTATATGTACCTATATGTCTTAATTTGTTATTATTTAAAATTAAATTTAAAAACTCCCTTTTAATGTTATGTAAAAACTTACAATTTTTAATTTACATTGGATTTATAAGAAAGTTACCCTCTAAAATATGGTTTTAAGATTTAGTGTTTAATTTCTCTGCAACAAATTTGTGGGCGGTTGTTGAAAATTTGTTGACAAAAATGTACACTAAATTGGCTCACTCGAGCCGGTTTTTTATTATTATTGCGATTATTGCTTGGACCACTCGAGTGAGGTGGTTTTTTATTACCGCTTTTGGGTTTCTCTAAGGAAAACATGTCCTCTGTAAAGTTCACCGGTGTTGCCTTTTCCATTGTCGACCGCTCTTGTGTTAAACACCTTGTTTACTTAGCCGACAAAGAAACAAACCCTTAAAATGCCATCTCAAACACTTCACCGTAAAAACCTTCAGCTTTGTCCGAAATTTAATTGGGCCGGCCATTGTTGTACCGCAAAAAGCGGTTGTATATTGTTTATAATCCGTTTGGACGTTGTTAAAACAGTCTTCGGTTTTGCGCTTGGGTCTGGACCCGTACTTAGATTAGAGTTTGATTACTATTTTTTATTATTCAATATTTGAGTCGTTTATTGAAAAAGTGGTGTGACTAGAAATTTGTAAAATATACATTTTTTGGCTTAACGGAGTCACATTTAGTCAATGCTTTCATGATAAAAGAGAAGCAACTCCAATAAACGCAGAAATCAATAAAATAAAAAAATAGAAAACACTGATAATGATAATGAACACTAATTCAATTACAATAGGAGATAATTCACTTTTACAATCAACGACAAAATGACACATTTCTTGTTGCCATTGTGAGATTCCCAATTGATTTCCTTTTCTTTCAATAGATGGTCGACCGACTTGATCACAGTATAACTAGTATACAAATTAATTATCAAATAAGATATACTTACTTAAAATCTACGTAAATACTGACCACATTTTTTGGTAAAGAGGTTCGAATTAAGCGCCTTAAAGTTTTATATCTTTACACTTTTTTCTCACGAATACCAACGCATCATATACATTTGTTTAGTTCTTTGTGAATCCAAGCTTGGTTTAAGTCATGAATAATTAAAAATATTTTCACCTTTGCTATATCGTTATTAAGTAATGAATATTAAATATATAAATCAATTTTAGAAGACGGTTACAAAATTATCGGACGGTAGTTCAAGTGGAGCTTTACAAACAAATGTATATATATTCTAATCTGAATTTTCTGTACCTATTAGAAATGTTTGTCCTCTAGACACGGGAAGGAATAATCTAAGGGTTTCGATTTAAAATTTTAAGTCGGATGGTGGCCAGAGTTTTAGATGGTAATAATGTTAATGAGTTAATTAAATATCCTTTGAGAATTGTCCATTTGTAGAAGGCCATCGTGTGGCGTTTTCAAACATTTCGATTAAGTGTCATCAAGTCTATTGTGCTTGTAAGATAGCTAAATCTTTTTTCACCACAGTCGTTTCCAAGTAATGCTGACGTCACCGGAAAACATTGTACATTTTCGTTCGCTCTTAATCACTGGAAAAACATAAAACCAGCTAACTAGAAAAAATCACTGAACTTTATCCAGAAGCATAAAATATGTCCAAGTCAACGCTGATGGTTGTTTAATTGCTTTTTTTATCTTTCAAGCCGTATTGTTTTTTGGCGTTTTTATGGAGCTCCGGACTTGGAAGTATAATAACTGTGCACGAACACCGGACTTTTATAGTAATTATTGGGCTATAAAGGGTGGTCGTTTTGTTTTTTGTTTTTTGTCTTTATGATGTAGCCCTGGCTGTTGTAAGATCCATCCACAGGTGGTACTTAAAAGCGAGAAGCTGTTTTAAAAAAAAAAAAAAACAAATTATACTCTTCCCATTTTTGAACTATGATGAAGACAATTAATTTGAGTGTCCAATCTTGTAAAAATATCACATTAAATTATTGAAACATATTTTATATTAATTTATAATTATTTTATAATTTTTTTGATGGAATGTATTCTATAAGTCTTAAAATATAATTTTGTGCTAATATAATTGTCCTACAATTGTAAAATTGCTTGAGCAAAAAAATAAATGGCCCCCAAAAGATAATAATAATAAAAATTGTTTTAACATCGGAAACACCAAATAGTATAACTATAGGTCTATTTTATAGATGTTGTTTTAGGACCTATTTCTTATTTAGTGCCTCGGTGTATGACTAACAGGTAACTGATTAAATAAGCTTACAAATCAACACATCAAAATATGTTTTTTTTAAAGTAACACTTAAACTGTGTTTTAATACGGTTTCGTGTAAGAAAGTAAATACAAAATTGTTTAGAGAAGTAAAACCGTATAATATTTTCAATAGGTATAAATTATTCATGACTGGATTTATAAATTTTTAGATGCCCCAAGACCAATTTTACAACACATAATTGATTACATTGAATATGTTGAACATAAAAAAACTTTATGGTCTACGAAACATCTGGGTGCATAATCGACTT